TTACCTGAATTATACCACTTCTCTTGCCCTGTGGTAGCCTTTTCCTGGAGCTCACCTGCTGCCAGCTCCGTTTGTCTGAGGCCACTCCTGATAATGCTGCCGGTTACCTCGTTGGGTTGTAATTCTTATACCTAAGTTCCTTCCCACTGATTTGTCTACACCAGACCTGCCCAGCTTCAATTGTTTACTCCTCAGAAGGTCTTCTCAGCTGTCTCCCCAGGGAGAGGAGATGACTGGAGTGTACATCCAACACGTTAGAGGGCAGGTAGGCATACACTTGTAGAACGGGTCTGCCTGGCTTCCAGGCACCTGCTGCTCACCTGCTGCTGACAGAGACAGGCAAATCAGAGTCCTAAGGCAGGGACCTGGAGCGTCATTTGAAAGGCAAGCAACCACAGAGCAGGAAGGACAGGCTAACATAATAAATAACAACCATACACTTCACATTACAGGGTCATGTTCAGAAAAAAAAAAAAGGCTCTCGGAACAGAAAATCTGTACAAAACCCCTACAACTCCAGACGCTGGAAGAGATTTCAGTGTCCTGTGTTATCAGGAACACAATCTGCAGATGATGAAAAAGAGAAAATATTAATAATACAAATCATGCTACAACAGACAGCAGCAACACAGGCTTGATTCACATTCTGCCTTGCTCATTCAACTCCTCCAGCTTGGTCTGTCCATGCATTCTGGCACCATTTTCCAGCCCTGCCATGAGCTCTCCCCTGCCCTTTCCTCCCACCAGTTCAGCCTGGAGCTCCTGCACAGCCCCGGCAATGATCCTCACTTACAAAACCCCTCCTGAGCTCCCGAACCACACTGGAGAATATTTCTGAAGGTGCCCTCTGCCCTTTTCTGCTATGATGTCATTGGGGTGACCACTGCGCTGTACTGATGCACTCAGCTCTCAGCAGCTCTGAGGTGTAGTCTTCACTGCACCTCAGTTCCTCAACATTTTACTTCTGGGGACCCTCTTTCCAAACAAGCTGTGAATGCAAGCCCCAGCTGCTGGTCTGCTTTCCCCTATCACTGAATTAAGAGTTTCAGATTCCTGACTCCTGGTTATATGCGTCTGTACAAGATTATTTGCTTACCTACTTTATACAAGTGAGAGGCAGCTGTATTACAGTAGGAAACAATGAGACCCGTTGTTGAGAGACAAACTTCGCACAGACAACACCACAATACAGGTGGCTTTGGGAAGATGAAGAAGATGATACATTCTCTGCCATGATTTTGAGCAAAACTTCCCTACTTCTGTTAACACTTTGGTGCTGCATACATTATGTTGTGGGAAAATTTTAGTTGCAGTAGAGGCACTAGATTTAGATACTGAGACATAATTTATCCATAAAAGCGACCACATATCAATGTATTTGTACATGTCCTTCACTTCTCTCTGGGATTATTCTTTCAGCTGGCATTTACTGTCCATATGCACAAAACGGTGAAAACTAGGAGTGATTTTATTCATTGCTTGATCTCCCTACAGAGACTGGCAAAAGTGGGCAAAATAGCATTAGTGAAACAGCTCTGCGCTGTGGACTTTCATCCCCTAAGAATCCAGGAGAGGCACCTTTTAGATAGAGAAATTTCTTGTGTTAGAAAGATCACAACAGTTGCAGAGTTCAGGCTCAGACTCCAGTTTCAGCTTTTCCTCTTATTCTGGTACTAACTTGCACTGACTTTCAGCAAAATTTTCTCCATGAAGGAGCAGAGGACCTGTTCTATACATCATTCCCCATTAAAACGTGGCTAAAATGCAATGGACAGTTCCTTATTTAAATGGGTTTTATACTGAGATGCATTACTTTCCACAGGCACCTTCCCCAAGGGTACCCGGGGAACCTATCTGCATTCCTATTTCAAAATATTATAATTGGAAATATTCCCCCTTTTGCGCCTTCCTTCGCACTCTCTACAGCCCTCAAACTGTAGAAGAAAGAGGGGGAGGCAAAGGCTTAACATTCAAGGTCTGCATATGCAAAAGTAGCAACCACTGCTGCTTTTAGCTCCTCCAGTCTCTGCTGTGCTCCCAGTCTGACTGGTCGGAAAAGATATTTTATCAGTTCAGTTCAGCCCTCAGACTATATAATCTTCCTCACTGATCCACAAGCCCCTCCTCCAGCAGTCATTTAGTGACACGTTTTGTCTTGTGAAAAAGAAACTTTTCCTGTTCTAAGCCTTGTATTGCATGCACATCCACAAAGAAAACACTGCCTGTTTAAATGCCTCTCTCCTCTGTTTCTTCCTCAGGCAAGTATGACCAGGCACACTGAAAGGCAGTAACTGGCAGTCTTACTAACAAAAACATCCTCTCTGTCTCCAAGACAGATATAGCATACTGAGCAATCACCCAAACCACACACAGCTGCTCAGTAGCCTCAAGATGTGGTTTTGGGACTAAGTATCAATTCAACCATAAACCATTCAGTCTTTGTCCTATGTGCTGGGACTGCTGACAAGGGTGCTGCTTCCAGTAGGAAAGCATACCCCAAATAACTGCTGCTGGACCAGAAAAAGGTCCCCTTCTTAGATGTCACTGCAGTATTCACTTTTTCTGTAGTAATTTTGAGGTCTCTGACTTACTTTCACATCCCAATGTAAGATTTAAACCTGTGGCTTATAGTTGATTACTATAACTGATAGCTATAACTATAGCTGATAACTCTGACAACTGTAACTGATCTTTGGGTCAACTTGAGCCCATACAGGTTGAAAGCCTCAGAACTGTTTCTTTTGTTTCTGCAAGCCAGCTATAAACCCCCAAATCAGAACAGATAATCTAGAAGTAAAAGGAGATTTCCCATAACTATTCCAAGTCCCTGTTGTGCCTCACGAGCTTTGCCTCTCAAGATGGCAGGTCTTCCGGCTTGAGAACAATTCATATGCCTATTTAAATTTAATTTTTCTTTAAAATGGTGGCTCTAGTGTGATTTTCAGTTCATCCCTTCAGTTTCATCCTTTAAAATTTCCAAAGGAATAAAGGCTAGGAGAGGGGAGCATAATATGAAAAGAAATAGAGAATTAAAAAAAAAAAAAAAAGTTTGTCCTTAGAAAAATGAAATGCCTGAAGGATTATGCATCAATCTTCTTCAGCCTGTTGAAGGTCAAGTAAATCTAGCACCTCCTCTATTTAGGGTTAGGCCCTCCTAATAACAGTATTTTCCCTCCACTTTCCTGCCAAATTAGACTTTATGATTCCCAACTCTTAAATCTAAATGGAAATTTCATTTGCACAATTTCATGCAATCACTGGGTCTGGACATCCCTCCCTTCCCAAACCAGATGCTCAGGAAAACCCCTGAAAGTTGGTTAGATGCTGTAAGTAGGCTACAGTACTGTTTTCCACTTTGGTTTCTTCAGAAAATTTTCCAGGCCCAGAAGCTGGGATTCATCCAACACAGGTGAAAACTAAGTTGGGTCACAGCTGCCCTAGCGTCTCTGTATTGTTAATACAAGATCACAAGAACTTCTGTAAAGCATTTCAAGTACTAAAATCCTCTCTCCCTACAGTAATATCACAAAGGGTACAAAGCTCTTGATTTACAAGTCTTGGACAAATATCAGAAGTTAGATGCCATATGTTTGTGCAAAATTCCATTTTCTTCCTCTTCTCCAAAGAAGTAACTTCCATGAACAGGAGCTCTTGGGGCAGCATAACTCGGTAGCTTGGCCACAGCCTCTCCCATATCCCCAGGGCTGATAGATGAAGTGTTAGACTTTAAGTAAAGTGCAGCATGTATCACATACATTTAGTTCTATTCTGTCTAGTTCCTAAGTTCCTAGTGTCCTGAGCAAACAACATCCTGAGGATATACTATTCTGTTACTTTTACCTTTTCTCTTTTAGTTTCTTATATTCGTTTTGTCCAAGTTATACATTTTCCTTTCAAGTTCCTGCTCTTTGGCACCACATTTTCACACTGTTCACATCTTCCTGTGAGAACTCCACAGCTCCTCTTGGCAAAACCTAGAAGTTGGTGAACAGACCTTTAGTGACCCAAACATCCAGTCTCAGGAGGGAATAAATTGCAGGGCTCCACACATAAAGAAACCCTTCAGTTGCCGGCTGCTGGCCGTGACTTGGGGCGGGCAGCGAAGGAGGGTGAGAGGACGCCCTGCTAACAGCAGTACATGCCGATGGGGCCGCAAGCAGGGGTAGCGGTTACCTCCTGTGGTCCAGACTCCGGGGAAGGGAAACTACAGCACCGCAACAAGCAGGGGGAGAGGAGCTGCGCAGCAGGCCCGAGCAGCCCCAGGGGAGAGGGGACTGGCCAGGCAGGCTGACGGGCCGCCGTGCCGCGGCCGAGGGCCGGCTGCGGGTGCGATGGAAGGAGGGGGAGTGCGGGACAAGGAGCCACCTCCCCGCTGAGGCGCTGAGGGGGCAAACACTTGCTTTTCCCTTCCTGTCTGTCGGCCGCCTAACCCTTCACACAAGTGCTTGTTTTCGTGAAACACAAAATTAATCGAGCTCGTGAGCTCGCGGGGAGAGCGGGCCGGAGAGCGCAGAGTGAGCGCTTTTCTTGGTGTTCCGTTCCCGCCCGCTCCTGTTGCCACCAACGCTCGCGAGGGGACCTCGGCCCGGAAGGCGGGGAGCGCGGGGCCTTCGCGCCCGGCAGCTACGTGGAGGGGCCTGAAGGGCGCCCTCCGGCGGTTCGGTGGGGTAAAGTGCCCTCTGACGGAAGGCCGCCTCCTCGAGCGGGCCTGAGGCTCGGCCGGGTCATCGGTCAACACGGTGTTCCCGGGGGAGACTACAGCGTGCCCGCTCCGCGGTACAGCAAACGGCTTGGGGCTTCTTAAGGTCTCTGGGGTGAAGGGTGTGCGGCACACAGTTACCTGGTGAAACTGGTTGTGTGAAGAGACCCTTGAAAGCCCAGAGCGTTGATAAGGCTTGGTGTTGCTTTAAAACACCACTGCACTGTTACAAACTTGCATTTCTTCCATATTTACCATCATAAAAAAAAAACAGAAACTGGATACTCATTAACCCAAGTTTGATGAATCGCATGTAAGAAAAGAAATTTGACAAAAGCCATGCCTGCTGCGTGAGGTGTCCAATGACGCTCCTCTGGCTCAGTCATAGCTTCATCCCATCCACCAGTGGTTTTCAGGAAAGGAAATTAAAGGCAAGGCTGTGTGTCACATTTTCAATTACTATTACAGAATCTTAGAACCACAGAATGGTTTGGATTGGCAAGGACCTTAAGATCATCCAGTTCCAACCCCCTGCTGTGGGCAGGGTCATCTCACACCAGACCATGTCACCCAAGGCCCTGTCCAACCTGGCTTTGAACACTGCCAGGATGCTTATATGGTGACAGAACTTAGTGTATGCAGTTACCCAGGTGTAGCGTGCAAGTGTGAAATACTGTAAGCAAATGGGGATTTTGCAACTAACTTTGAAATCAGGAATTGCCCTGCATCAGAGTATCTGGGAGATTAAGCCTGAAGACAATTGGAACAGGGTAACAGATAAAATTTTCCGATGAAGCATTTGACACAGTGATCTTTGTCATTATTCATACCAAAAGTCTTTATCTGGCGCAAACACAGCATATTTGAGTGTAAATCTTTCTACTTAAATTCACTTCAAAATGGGGTGAAAGTAGAATGTAGCATACAGGTGATAACCAGTAACTCCAAGGGCAGATCCTTAATGAATTCACATGTAAATTAAACATTTATATACATATTGGATTTTATTTTTAATTTATTGCAATGTTACTTTCAACTGTGAAAATCAATTCATTTCAAAGTAAAATAAAGCATGAAATTCCTGGTTTCCTTGTAGATGGCCGAATCAGAAGTTCAGGAAGGAAACTATGATAACATGGTAAAGATGATGGAGGAACTGAAAAGAGATTTAGAAAAACTCCTGGATGAAATGGAAAAACTAACAGGTACAGGTCTTTCTTAAGAATGATAGTGATTTGTCTGCTAGAGGAAAGACATTGAAGATGTATTATTTATATTTATTGCTGTAAATTTCCATGTGATAGAAATTTAACTGGAAACAATCACCATCAGCTAATGCCCTCATGTTGTCAACTGGGAGAAAGCATGCAAATAATCTAGAAGTTTCAGGTGGCTCAGAACTGAAAATTTATAGGTCATTAAATCTGATGCTCAGTTCAGAGTTGTGGTTGAAAACAGAAATAATACTAAGATATGTAATGTACAGTTATTAAATCATAGTATGCAAGATGAGATTTAAGCCTGAAAAACGGTGGGATACATAGTGATCTTGGGTCAGCACATGACATGTTTAATTCCTTAGCTAGAATAAAGACTCCTTTGTAGATTTAACCTTAGTCCTACATGTATGGAAAGGACTGAATATTCTTCTGCATGTTCTGCAACCATTCCATCAGACACTGTGCAACTAACAAGAATAGATGGAAACTGTTCATTAAACTATTTTGCACTACATGAAGCACAATCCATAAGTGACAGTGAGAAAACTACAGACAATTTATAATACAACAAAAGGAAAGTATGAAATAAGGGCTAAAACTATTTGCTCTGCTTCATGAGATACTTACTATTTAAAAATCAATTCCATTATTTAGGTTGGTTTTAAAACCTTTTATCTCTGTGCTGCAGCCTCCTTGATCTTGCTCCTTCTCACCTAACATGAACCTCCTGATTATAACTGGTCTGGAGATCTGGAGAGAGGATTCTTTGGTTCATTTATTTTAAATCAGTCTGTTGAACATTTCTTTTTGATTGCCTGTTTTGTTGTGATTTTTAGGTAAAATGTCTCTCTCCCTTCTGTAATTTACATCAGTATTACTTCCATTCTGAAGCATTTTGAGACATTTATAAAGCAGTAATATTGAGCAGTCTTTTATTTAATCGAGTATTTCTGTGGGCAATTTCCACTTTATTATACAGCAAGCCTTCTCTGACACAGGATCTGAACTGATAAAAATTCATGTTCTTTATTCATTTATTGAATCAGCTATTGCTTTTATTTAGCCAAAAATTCCTGGCTTAGCTTTATCTGTTGGATTTGCAGTGGGGGCAACCTGGATGGCATTTGACATGGTGGTCATGCGTACCAACCTCGACCTGGCCAACTCCATGAAGCGTCTGGAAGATGCCTTCCTGAATTGCAAAGAAGAGATAAAGAAATGGCAAGAAGTGCTAATGGAATTTAAAGGTGAAGAGCAAAAAAAAGAGTAAATTGAATTCAGTCATGCTCAGAGAACTCCAACCCTTGGAAAATCACTCCAGTCTTATTTGTGGAAGTTTCACAGATACTGTGAAAAATGGATTGGCTTTTACCTTCCTAAAAATACTTACGTGTATACATCTATGGAAGTATTTTAATAAGATTATACATACATATATTTATAATTGCTGAAGGTAAAAGGTAACAATGTGTCTATTTTTATCGTGCTCATCAGTAATCCTTGTGGTGTGTACACATACACAACTTGCATGCCTTCTGTGTCTTTCTCCCTGGAAGATCATACTCATCAATATCTATGGAATTCCTTGATACCTGAACAAGTGACAGGGTGTGTGTTGTATGTATGCAGACAGGGTGCAGTGAACCATTACAGTGATATTGCACTAGCACATGCCTTCCAGGGAAAACCGAAGAATTTCTTGTATTTCCCAATGCAAAACAGGTGAAATTCTAGATTTGCAGATAGATTGAGTTAATTAGATGTGGGATTGCCAAGTAGGTGTTCAGTTAAAGAGGTTTTTTTTTAGATCGCTCATCTGTGGTTGTTTCATTTTGCTTCCTTGGATTTTTAACCATTTCTTTGGACTGGCTTTCCCAGCAAGATCGTTCTTCTCAAACCTCTGAAGGTAGGTAGCATATCTCATTTAGGAGAAAATTGTTCACCATTATAAACTGCCCTGTGTGTGGTGTAGTTTGTGAGATTGCTGCAGAAACCAAACTAACCACATCATATAACATGCTTGTATGCTCCTACTGCCCAATACTAAAAAAAGAAGAAAAAATGAAGTTATTTCCTTCTGCAGACAAGGTGTGGACTGAGAGCAGCAGCTTTTGGCTTGCAGTTAATGCATTAACAGAGTATCTGAGATGGAAGTCAGTTCAAGCTTTAAGACAGATCTTCCTTATCATTAAAATCAGTCTCTTTTAACTAGAAAATAAGCACCATGTAGCGAGAGCACCTCCATCCGCTTTGAAGAGGCATTTCATTATCTGAATCACATCTAAATTACCTGTCAAAAGATTTTTAGGCTATATTCTTGATTCACAGACAGAATGTTTATCTCAGTGAAGCGAAAAATAAGTAATTTCACTTTTTTCCCCAAAGCTACCATTTTTTTCTAGAGGTGCAAATGGTAAAGAACATAAACCTCTACTCTTGACTTTTCAGTGGACAGGTCTTCATTCCAGCCAAAGTAGGGCAAAATGGCAGAGCAGCATGAGGTAACTTAGATTTCAGTTAATCTCTGGAGGATTTTTAATGCCATGTTGTCACTTTGGTACCCTTGACTACATTGTCTTCATTCTTCAATTCTATATTAAAACCAAAGTCTTTGAAAATGCACTATCTTTAACAGCTTGTGTAGGAATCTACTAAATTTTGTGATTTTTGTCTGACTTTTCAGCCATAAAGTGCTACACTTGAATTGACTTGAGATTTTCCAGAAAGCTCAGTTTTCATTCAGACATTCAAAGCAAGTAGCCAGTGTTTTAAAAACAAACAAACACCAAATTGTTTGAATCTAGGAATCCCATTTTGATTCGAGAATAGTGCTCAAAACCAACACTTCATAAAATGTCTCTTAATTATGACAGTAGTGATGTTGAATCCCGTTTCCCATGGTTGGAAGGCTGCAATAAGTCTGTCAGAATACTGTTTCTCCAGAGCAAAGGGTCAGAGTGTAGCTGTAAGGAAAGGACGCATCTGGTAACATTCTTTACAGTCCTCAAGTCTCATCACATTACAGTATTTCCTTTTTGAAGTTTGGAAAATGCTTAAAAATGGATATTGTTTTGAAGTATAACTGTAAGGCATTATAGAACTAACAACAGATGGCATTAAGAGCACCTTAACTTTCTCCTCAGAAAAACGCAGACAAATTACAGGCTACTAACCATCAAGCACCAACTCAGTCTCAAGTAGAGGTGTTTACACTGAGGTACCATGCTACCCTGCTGTGAAGGAACAGTGAGTTAGCAGCATGGGTGTTGTGTACACCTGTGAAGACAGGATAAGAAAGCTGGGGCTGTTCAGCCTGGAGAAGAGAAGCTGCGTGGAGACCCCACAGCAGCCTTCCAGTATCTGAAGGGGGCCTGTAAGGATGCTGGGAAGGGACTCATCATTAGGGACTGTAGCGACAGGACAAGGGATAATGGGTTCAACAGAGAAGTTCAGGTTAGATATAAAGAAGGTCTTTACTGTGAGAGTGGTGACGCATTGGAACAGGGTGCCCAAAGAAGTGGTAAATGCCCCATACCTAGCAGTGCTCAAGGCCAGGTTGGAGAGAGCCTTGGGTGACATGATCTAGTGTGAGGTGTCCCTGCCCATAGGAAGGGGGATGTAACAGGATGATCTTAAGGTCCTTTGCAACCCAAACCAGTCTATGATTCTACGATAATATGGCTGGCTGAGTAGGCTAGGTCTGCCTCTTTCTCCCCAACAGTTCCTTTCCAGCTGTATGATGATAAGCAGAGGAGAGTTTGGGATATGCACCAGCATAGGAACAGTGCATATGCCTTGAAAAACTATACACCAAGATGATTATACTTTTCCGTTACTACTGAAATAATCTGTGCATGTTTTTGGTTGCCCTTTTTTTTTTTTTTAAACTTTTCCTTGAGAATCTGATTGTGGGAATTGTGAGTTTTGTTTCAGACATCTCACCATCAACTAAATTTCAGCCCAGCTAGATGCTTTAGAGGCAGGAGAAAACAGCCCATACAGGAAATCAGGGTGTTTCAGTCACAGGGTTTTATATCAATTTTCAGTAAAAACTATGTGGAACAACAGCTCCATCTGGTGCTCACATAACTATAGCAGTAATCTGGATTGCTGGGTTGACATCTCTTAATCCCCCATCATCAAAGCTTTCTGTAATGAAAAGCGTCAGCAGCAGTTTGGCTTTATGTTCACTGTAAGTGAATTCCAGTTTCATGACCTTTCCGTTACTCACAGGTGTTTCCTGTACTGTATTTAAGGCAAAGCATTCTTCTACAAAACTGCTACAGAAGCAAGAGAAGTTGGCACCAGTGCACTGCCAATTTAGATGCCAAATACAGCAGTAAGGGACTCTGTTTCCTTTGTAATTCATTCCTTAGCCTCTGCTAAGTAACACTTAATAAGCATGTCTCAAATCAGCTAAAATGTACTGTTGCTTGATTGGTTAGTTTTTCCTCACTATGCAGACCCCTGGACAGGTTCTGGAACCTGTATGCACCCTGCTTCATTTTGCATGAGCTGATAGGCCAACTCTTATTTCCATCAAGGAGTGTGTGAAACTTAGCAAAGAAGTTATGGCCTCAACTCTTAGAAACCTACTAAGGGTAGCAGATGCTCTGGTGTTAAACACTGCAGCGGCTTTACTGTCCTTATCACAACAAAATTTACTGATCTTAGTTGTGAACTTAACCTGTGGGCAAGATGAGAGGGTCTACACATAAGAACAAACTGTCCAAGAGCCATCAAACTGAGCCACCACCAAACTGAGCTATCTGGTCTGAACCGCCTGCAATCACATAGCTCAAAGCACATTCCTCTTCTACATGTGAACAGCTATCTTCCCTCTAAGACAGAGGCACACAAAGTGTCCTACAGCTCCTTTTTTTCTAGCAGCTCAGGTGCTACTGCATGCATTGGAGGTATGTGGATTCTCAACACTTTGAGTTTCTGTTAACAGCTTTCTAGCAAGAAACAAATAAGAAATGGCTAAAAGCCTCCCAAAAAATTCTTATGGGTGAAACTGCCCTTCTCTCCAGTGTAAAACAACTGAGAAGGGGCTGTAGTCATTTCACTACAAGGCAGCTCAACTCTTGCCAAATTGTGGCCTACAGCTTTGGTTAGGTTATGAATATCATTTAGTACTAGTGCTTTCCTATTCTTTACTATTATAGCCCCAATTCAGGTTACCTCAGCCAGGGTCAAGAAGAGAATTTGTACTAGCTGTTCTATTTGGCATTGTTTAAAAATCTCACTCCAGATCCTTGCAGCAACTTTTCCCTGATATGCACATGAAGAGATGATTGAACCTGTAACAGCCTATTTACACACGCTAGTATCAACATAATGTTCTTTTTGCTGGCATCCTTAACAGAGAAGCAAAGAGCTTATTGAGAAAAAAGCGGGTGAACAATATTCCTTCAGTCAGTCTTTTTCTCCAGAACAAGGACCTTATTACCTAGGCTCTATCAGCAGGAAAAGTGTCAGGGCCTTTTCTGTGTTCATTCTATTAATACTGACTTCTTTTTTACAGCTCTGCCTCCTCCCTGCTTCTGCATTTACAATTTTTTAACAGAAACATTATTTTCTCATTTTCTTGTTTCTGATAAACTATCAATTGCTTGCCTGGTTTTCTGTAGGTGCTTTGGATCTGAATCATTGAAATAGGCACATTGGCAGTAAGACTACAGGGGTCTGAAATGCCATGTGATTTTACACATGGATTGAGTTCTGATAACTGGAAAACTATTGGTGACTCCTCAGAAAGTCAAATGGTGAATAAAAGGGACACATGGCATCTTCCCCTTTACAGAAAGCCAGACTAAATAAAGGCATGTAGAGGCACTAGTTAGAGCAGGTACATTTAGTGACTGTTAAAGCTTTTGTGCCACATTTGGGATGCCATCCCAAGATTATGAAATAACTGGGATTCTACATACAGCTAGTCACATACACCAGCACCACATTGCGCAGAGGATTTTAGAAGAAGAAAGGCAAGATTTAGAGGCCATTAAAAACTGTTAACAGCATTCTGCAAGCCATGGACAAAGTTGTGAATATTGTATGATGCAAGTGAAAATAATTAGCTAGAGCAACACTGAGCAGTAACCACAGAACACAGACCTTCTAAGACACTGGAAACAAAAGCCTATTACAGGTACACTGTACAAAGCATATTTTAACTCTTACCACCTAACTGCTGCTACCTAATATGTTAAAACAGTAGAAGGTGGATTTTAACTTGAGGTGCATCTAAAGTTGGGTTCTAGGCTGCTGCTAACTGCTTATCTGACTGCATGGATCAACACACATTTAACCCATACTTTGATTTTTTTTGAGAGCAGATCTTTCTGTACTGTAGACACATACTGTATGGCAAATCATCCTT